CCCCGCGCTGCGGTTGGACCGGCCTGGGCGCCGGTTCCTCGTTGTCCCGCCTGTCCCGGGGGCTGCAGGGCTGCCCCGGTGCCGCCCCGGCAGCCGTGCCGCTCCAGCGAGGCCCCAGCGCCCCGTGGTGCTGCCTCTTGCCCCTGCTGGCGCCGCAGGGGCCCGTCCGGGCTGGGCTCTGCCTCTGAGGTAGGTCTGGGGGGTCCCCAGCCCCGCTTCGTGCTCTGCCTCATCGTCGTGTCGTTTGCCGGTGGGGTTCTTGCTCGGAACATCGTTTCTGTTATTCCTTAGTATCTTTGACATTATAATGTCACTCCGATTCTGTGCTAAGCGGTTGTTGGACACGCTTGAGGAAGGTTTTCTTCTCGTTGCAAACGAACACGGTTGTTTCTCTGTTTTTTTTTTACTTCTCTGAGCATGGGACCATTACTTCTCGTTCCCTTAAAACAGCTGGCATATTTTAGGGCTGTTAAATAGGTCATAGGCAGCATGCTGTGGTTTCAAACTGTTTTACTAATAGTAGTTAATTCACCTCACGTATCCAAGCATCACAGAACCGCCCAGCATTCATGACTGAAGAAAGAATTATCTTGGGATGAAGGAATTTTGGAGTGATAAATACATGTGATCCACACGTATAAGCCATGGATATACATGGAGATATATATATATATGTACATATATGGTCAAATATACCTTATAGCATCCATGGCAATGTACTGGGAAATAAAGATGGAAACAGGTAGCAGTGAGATTTCTCACATTACAGTGCACAGGTAGATGGCCTTTTAATTGACACATGTTCAGTTTGGAAAACCTTTATTATAATTGTGTCCCTTTCTCTTGCTCATCCACTGAGCCAGTCATCTTATCATAGAAGACCATCGGGTTGTTAAGGCATAATTTCCCATTCATAAAGCTATGTTGGCTACTCACAAACATCTTCTTGTGTTTGACCCTCATATGTTTGGAGACACTTTCCAGGAGGATATTCCCCATGACTGTTCCAGGGACTGAGGTGAAGCTCTTTGTCCTGTAGTTCTCCAGATCTTCCTTTTAGCCCTTCTTGGAGACAGGAGTGATGCATGATCTTGTCTGCTCCTCAGGAACCTCTCCCAAGACACCACTTGTATGTTTCAGAGGTAATTGAGACTGGCCTCTCAAAGACTCATCCAGCTCCCTCAGCATTCCTGGACACAACCTGGCAGGCACCATGGACTTGGGCATTTCCAGTTTGTTTAAGTGCTCCCTGACCTGGGCCTCCCTCACTGAGGGCAGGTCTTCCTTGCTCTAGACTTTCCATCTGATTTTTGTGTCCTGAGACTGACTGCTGGAGGTCAGTATGGATTAAATCCTAAAATCTATCTATTTTTCCCAATGTGTGAAATAAAACCCTTTCTCTGGGCCACTTGGAACACGTGTCAATTTAAACTTGTATACAGATTTCCATCTAAATTTAAACACCCAAACATGTATCATATACATTTTAACTAAGACTTTTCTTCAGACCGATGTTAAATAATGTGAACACACATCCCTCTAGATAGAATTTCATGTACTAATGTGCCTGAAAGCTGTACCAATACCAATGATGATGCATTTGGGATAAGTGGGTATTGTTATTTTTCATATATACAATGTGGGTATTGTTATTTCTCAAAAGCTCAAGAAATCACATGAAAGAAAAAAATAAGTGTTGGACAGATGGGGTTTTCTAATCACTCAAGTTCAGAAATAAAGTAGTTAATACAAATCTAAGCTTGTTCTATCCAGTTTCTTATGTGTATATGTGCAATATGGAGCTACAGAATTGAATATAGCTCACCTGTTACGTGAAGAGGGTGGAAAAACTCGCTGATGATGTAGTTATCATGGAATCAAAGAAGGGCTTGGATTGGAAGGAACCTGAAAAATCATCTAGTTCCAACCCCCCTGCATGGGCAGGGACACCTCCAACTAGACCAGGTTGCTCAAAGCCCCATCCAACCTGGCCTGGAACACCTCCAGAGATGGGATATCCACGACTTCTCTAGGCAACCTGTTCCAGTGTCTCACCACCCTCACACTGAAGAGTTTCTTCCTGATGTCTAACTTAAATCTCCCCTCTTCCAGTTTAAAACCATTTCCCCTTGTTCTTTCACTACAGGTCCTTGTAAAAAGTCCCTCCCCAGCTCTTTTGTAGACCTCTTCAGGTACTGGAAGGTCACTATATGGTCTCCTCACAGCCTTCTCTTCTCCATGCTGAACAACCCCAGCTCCTTCAGCCTGTTCTCATAGCAGAGCATTGCTGGCTCATGTTGAGCTTCTCATCAACCAGCACCCCTAAGTCGTTCTCCTCAGGGCTGCTCTCAGTCCGTTCTCTGCCCAGCTTGTATTTGTGCTTGGGATTGCCCAGGCTCATGAGCATTGGTCTTGTTGAACTTACCTTCTTTTACCCGTTATTTTGCAACAATCACTCACTGCATACTATCCATATTCTACATTTAATGCTTTTTCCTAGGATGCTCAAACTTCTTACATCACCTCTCTCAGTGTACACTACCAGGTATGCATTGAAATATGTTTTGAGGGTTGAGGAAAGAGGAGGGTGAGGTCACCAAGCAACAAAGAGACTGGAGCACAAGACTAGTGAGGAGGCATTTAAGAGGGCATCTGAAAGCATTTGACATGATTTCACAGGGCAGCAAGGCCACACAATGCTGCAAATCAGAGAGCTGAAGACCAGTGACAAGAAGAGGTGCAGAGGCTGTGAGCACAAGGCTTATTTTTAGGGTGTGAGGGCTGATACATCTAGACTAACCAGTTGTTTCACAGCAGCCAGTTAACTAGTGTTTGTGTAGCAAAAGAAGGTGAGGGGTATTATTATCCCTTCTTCACCAGGGAGAGGACTGAGGCTGAAATGCATGTTTGAAATATCAACTGCTTTAGGATGTGCCCCTTTTCAGCTGTTATATGAGGGAAATCTCATGTTTCCCTTGCAGTTAATTTATTTGTAGCACAGCTTTCCCTGATGTCAGGTGCAGCTCTAAGTGCTCAGCACTTTGACAAATCTACACTCGATTACCTTGAGCAGACAGCAGAAGAAAGGATAAAATCATTGGTGAGTTGTAGAAAAGAGTTATTTACATGATCTCCTGTAACCACATAGAAGTTATGTCATATAAGGAGTGTATTCTAGTCCTGAAAAGGAACTTCAGCCAATTTAACAAGATTATCTCTTCTCCTTTTTCCAGACCCTTGCATCATTCCTGTGCTCCTTTTTATTATCATTCACACCATGCATTGATGAAGCAGGAATCTTGCTGAAGGCTCTTACTGTAAATGAGGCTTATTAAAATGAATGTGCACAAGAAGAGCGAGTTAAACTAATCCAGACAGTTTTTGTTCTACTGTGTCCTAATTTTTTAATCCTTCTCTTGGCACATACAATATCTTTGAAGGTAACTGGCAAGCATACCAACTACTAAAGCCAAAACAACATATTGGAGCTTGGCTGCCTATCACTTGTATCCCAGAAGCTACCCGGGTAGTGATAGTTCATGTGGAAGAATCAAAGTATAGCCCTTTCTTCTATTCAGAATACACTTGGTGAACTCCTTCCTGCTATCTTTCTTTTGGCATGAATAGATGACTATTTCCTAGGGCAGGATTACAAAGACCAGCTTTCTTCCACTTTCTTTCCCTCTATGTTACACCTTTATGCATCACACGGTGCTCTCTTCAGGGAAGGACTCTGGTGTAGGTCACAGGAAGACCATGTTCCCAGACTGGGACCTCCATATGCCATGCAAACACTGCATACTAGCAAGCGTGAGAGGGATCATTCACAATTCACAGCAAGTTAATGCCACCAGACTCCTCAGAAGAGGCGTGCAGACAATGAGGAACAGTGCATCTAAATATGATCTTCTGCAACAACTCAGCTTCAGGTTTTGGTTCAGAGCCATGAGGTTTTTTTCCCAGTTCTTGGCTGATTTAAATGAACAATACAGACTATGTATATAAAGATGATAAGCATTAAGAGGGACGAGAAAATTCTGTTTACGTAAATTTAGAAAATACCAAACTACACAATTAAACTGTATCCGTGGCTGATGCCAAAGACTCCCCGGACACGCTGCAATTGCATTCCAGCTTTAGCAAAGCCTTTGAGTAAATACTGGCAGTATTACTTTGTTCCGAAAGAGGGTGCTAAAACATAATGTTTATTACAAAAACTGCAAAGCTGCACAATTGTTCAACTCGGTACTTCCTCCAGCATAAGTTTATTGTGGCTTAATTTTTATTGTACTTGCAGCTGGCAATTTAACACAAGCTTTAGCTTTAGCTGTACAGACATATTACACCAGCTGTAGTTTCACAAAATAATAGAAGAAAATGACATTATGGAAAGAACTAAGCATAACAGAGAAAAAACAGAGGACAGACTTTCAAATCTGTTTAAAAAAAAAACCAACACAAAACAAACCCAACCAATATCTTTTTGCTTTAGCCTGATTACTTGGATTTTATTCAGCACAGCTTTAGTTCTGGCAGTTCTCAAGCACTCACTGAGAGTTAACCAAAATTCTGTCACATTAAGCTCATAATTGCCTGTGATGTCACTAGCAGAACTGAGATCTTCAGGTACATAACAATGATCCTGTGGCAGCAAAATTAGAAAGTGAATGGATAACAGAAGAAAGATAATCTATTTCATCTGAGCTAGCTGCCTAGGGACAGAGGAGACATTTTGCCAGGGAGTTGGAGAGATGCTTATTGACACGACAGTTTAGTGAAACAGGCAGGTCCCAAGCTTAAATTTCAAGTTTTGGAGGAGACAAGGCTTATTTAACTTTTCTTTTCCAAACGAAAACTTTATCCTGATTGACACTCAGCAAGACCTGAGAGTTGCCAGAAGAGGGATGGATGATCAGTGACACCTTTTCCAGCCTGTTTCTTATCAAGTTGCAAACCCAGTGGGACCTGGCAGCTCCAAAGTAATTGCAACTTAAAGGCCCTTTTCCTAAGATTGAGAAATATTCAAAATCTGGCTAGACACAGCCCTGGGCAAGCAGCTGTAGGTGGCCCTGCTTGGGCAGGTGGATTGGACCAGATGACCTCTAATGGTCCCTTCCAACTTGAACCAGTCTGTAGGTTAGACAGCACGTGATGAGGTCCAATGTACAACAACCCCTACACCAGCAGGACTTAAGCTAACACCCTATGGTATTTCACTGGGAAGAGTAGCTGT